GGTTTTGGTTTGTTTTTACCCAAATACAGTTGATCTCCCTAACGTTCCATCCTACCTCAACATATCCGCACTTCTCTTGAGAAACAAAGTCTATCCCTGGTGCAGATTCTCCTCTCCAGCCACGCGCCTCCTGCCTCTAGGGAGGCGGGGAGAGCCTCGGCGTGTCCGCAGCCCAGAGCGCCTCAGGAACACAGCGCAGCTCCCGAGCAATCCCCCTTGCGCCAGGAATAGCTCGATGAGGTCACCCTCTCTGTTGTGTAGTTAGGACGATGAATAAAATCACGGATAAAGGTGGGCGCGGCCCCAGAAGCTGCGAAGGGGACCCCTGAACTCGGACACCCAGCAACCCCGGGCGCACAGCCTAGGATCACTTTCCCCAGAGCCAGGGATCCATAGAGATACGACCCACCAATGCAAATTCACAAAACTCAACTTCCACTGCGCTCAGAAGAGGGGGACTTCAGACGGCAGAAAATTCCGAGCCTAAGAAAATTGATCAGGAAAAGTTAACACTCGTCTGGAAAGAGATCCAGCCTCGGAGACGCGAGACCTGCCAGGTTTCTGCTCAGCTTCTACTCCTATAGGGCTGGGTGGACGGACCCAGCAGGTCACTGGGCCTCTCTCACCTCAGCTCCCCTCACCCCGAAACGCTGATGTCAACGTCTAAAGGAGCGTCTTGAGGCTGTCAGACCTGGTCACTCCGCGAATGCGCTCTGTGACCTGGCGCACAAGGTCCATCTCTGGGCTTCAGTTTCCCAAGTCAAACAAGGAAAATGGCTTTAGCGCCCCTCAAATACTCAGGCACTGAATAGACGAAGGTTAAATCAAGCAGCTGCATGAAGCTCTTATTTCGATAAGCGCAGGAGAAAAGAAACGCTAGGGCAGAGCGAGTAGAACAAACTTGCAAAGTAAACGTGCCCAAGTTCAGGCCCCACTCAGTCCCCGTGGGTTCGCCCCCCGAATGCCCGAAAAGACCCCTCCCGGGGACCCTCCGGCTGGCAGGCGGCGAGGGCTTGGGGACGGGGTCCCGCGTGGCCGGAGGGCTGCGCCCCGCCCGGAAGGGGGACCTGAGGGCGCGGCGCGACGAGCGAGCGAGAAAGCGCCGCCGTGCGGGGAAGCCC